GGGTTTAAGGGCTGGCAAACGGCAGGCTTGGACGCCCATAAGAAGCCTCAGAAGCCATTGTTGTGGCTTTGGGGTGCCTGTTGGCATGGACCGCGCTGAGAAGAAACGATGGATCTGGCCTTGGGGTAGCTTATGCCTGCGCGGTTGGGCATCCCAGACGCTTGGACAGAGTTTGAACGGTCGTAAGCTGCGCGCTGTGGCAGAGTTTGAACAGTTTTAAGGGTTTTAGGGGTTTTAGGGGTTTAAGGGCTGGCAAACGGCAGGCTTGGACGCCCAGAAGAAGCCTAAGAAGCCATTGTTGTGGCCTTGGGGTGCCTGTTGGCATGGACCGCGCTGAGAAGAAACCATGGATCTGGCCTTGGGGTAGCTTATGCCTGCGCGGTTGGGCATCCCAGACGCTTGGACAGAGTTTTAACGGTCTTAAGCTGCGCGCTGTGGCAGAGTTTGAACAGTTTTAAGGGTTTTAGGGGTTTTAGGCGTTTTCAGGGTTTTAGGGGTTTTAGGGGTTTTAGGGGTTTAAGGGCTGGCAAACGGCAGGCTTGGACGCCCATAAGAAGCCTCAGAAGCCATTGTTGTGGCTTTGGGGTGCCTGTTGGCATGGACCGCGCTGAGAAGAAACGATGGATCTGGCCTTGGGGTAGCTTATGCCTGCGCGGTTGGGCATCCCAGACGCTTGGACAGAGTTTTAACGGTCGTAAGCTGCGCGCTGTGGCAGAGTTTGAACAGTTTTAAGGGTTTTAGGGGTTTTAGGCGTTTTAGGGGTTTTAGGGGTTTTAGGGATTTTAGGGGTTTAAGGGCTGGCAAACGGCAGCCTTGGACGCCCATAAGAAGCCTAAGAAGCCATTGTTGTGGCCTTGGGGTGCCTGTTGGCATGGACCGCGCTGAGAAGAAACCATGGATCTGGCCGTGGGGTAGCTTATGCCTGCGCGGTTGGGCATCCCAGACGCTTGGACAGAGTTTTAACGGTCTTAAGCTGCGCGCTGTGGCAGAGTTTGAACAGTTTTAAGGGGTTTAGGGGTTTTAGGCGTTTTCAGGGTTTTAGGGGTTTTAGGGGTTTTAGGGGTTTTAGGGGTTTAAGGGCTGGCAAACAGCAGGCTTGGACGCCCATAAGAAGCCTCAGAAGCCATTGTTGTGGCTTTGGGGTGCCTGTTGGCATGGACCGCGCTGAGAAGAAACGATGGATCTGGCCTTGGGGTAGCTTATGCCTGCGCGGTTGGGCATCCCAGACGCTTGGACAGAGTTTGAACGGTCGTAAGCTGCGCGCTGTGGCAGAGTTTGAACAGTTTTAAGGGTTTTAGGGGTTTTAGGCGTTTTAGGGGTTTTATGGGTTTTAGGGGTTTAAGGGCTGGCAAACGGCAGGCTTGGACGCCCAGAAGAAGCCTAAGAAGCCATTGTTGTGGCCTTGGGGTGCCTGTTGGCATGGACCGCGCTGAGAAGAAACCATGGATCTGGCCTTGGGGTAGCTTATGCCTGCGCGGGGTGCTCTTGAGCCATTGCGGTGGCCTTGTGGTGGCGTTTGCCTTCAAGAAAGACAGGATCCACACCTCCGGTGGTCCCAGGCGCCGCCCCGGCCTTGGCGAAGGCCAGGGTCGGCGGATATATATTAAAACAAATTACTTTACTTCGTGTGATCCCCACCATGACATTTACAAATTTATACATTTTCTTACTGGAAAATCTTCTGGCATTCTATCTGGCATATCTTCTGACATTCTATTTGGCATTCTATCTGGCATATCTTCTGGCATATGTTCTGGCATATCTTCTGGCATTCTATCTGGCAAATCTTCTGGCATTCTATCTGGCATATCTTCTGGCATTCTATCTGACATATCTTCTGGCATTCTATCTGGCATATCTTCTGGCATTTATTCTGACATATCTTTTGGCATTCTATCTGGCATATCTTCTGGCATTCTATCTGGCATATCTTCTGGTATATCTTCTGGCATATCTATCTGGCATATCTCCTGGCATATTTTCTGGCATTCTATCTGGCAAATCTTTTGGCATTCTATCTGGCATATCTTCTGGCATATTATCTGGCAAATCTTCTGGCATTCTGTCTGACATATCTTCTGACATTCTATTTGGCATTCTATCTGGCATTCTATCTGGCATATCTTCTGGCATATCTTCTGGCATTCTATCCGGCAAATCTTCTGGCATTCTATCTTTGTAACTTTCTTCTGCACATTCTTTGTCCCATATCTTCCTACATGAGGTCCGGCAGGGAACACTTGGCGTGGATACTCGCGGTTGAGGTCCGGCAGGGAACACTGGGCGTGGATGGTCGTGGTTGAGGTCCGGCAGGGAACACTGGGCGTGGATGGTCGTGGTTGAGGTCCGGCAGGGAACACTGGGCGTGGATGGTCGCGGTTGAGGTCCGGCAGGGAACACTGGGCGTGGATGGTCGTGGTTGAGGTCCGGCAGGGAACACTGGGCGCGGATGGTCGTGGTTGAGGTCCGGCAGGGAACACTGGGCGTGGATGGTCGTGGTTGAGGTCCGGCAGGGAACACTGGGCGTGGATGGTCGTGGTTGAGGTCCGGCAGAGAACACTGTGGATCGCGGGTCGCAGTTGAGCAAGGACGACGAGGACGACGAGGACGACGAGGAGGACGAGGAGGAGGAGGAGAGGAGGAGGAGGAGCAGGAGGAGGAGCAGGAGGAGGAGCAGGAGGAGGAGGAGGCAACTGACATAAAATCTAACAACCCTCACCTGGCAGGTGGGGAAAAACGCAGTCTTTTCAATTTTAGGATGGTTAGTGGGAATAGCCCGGATTTTTGAATCAGAGCCAAATGGGTATGGCTCAAAATGGTTGATCCCAAAAATAATGATGGTTTCCTAATAAATATGATCACTTTTGTGGGTCATTCGTTTCCCCAATTTCGAGCCATAGCCTGATAATCAATAGGTAACCCTATGGATATGGCCATTTATGATTTAGTGAAACATCTTGAACGCAGGAACTTGAAGCTCTCAAGTCCTATCTTCACTTTATTTTCGCTCTAGCTGCGTCCATTTTGGGCATTTTTTAGCAGTAATGGTGGGGGCTGCAGAGTTCCTGATTCCTCGCCTGCTGCTCGGGTTGCTTTTGCACGACCTCAAGAGGATCCTAGACAAACTTGACAAAGTGAAGGACAATTTCAAGATTTTGACAGAGTGATGGTCCCAGTTGCGCATCAAAACCCTTCGTCCCTTGGGCTTTCCACAAAAGCACGAGTCGCCCAGGCATGCACAATTGCAACTAGTCTTGAAACGCTTGATATGGCTTGATTCCACAGATTTCTACCGGGCCCAAAGGGAATAGCATGGGAACAGCTTGGGAATAGCTTGGGAATAGCTTTGAAAGCAGGGGAAGTAGTAGATCACCAAGTTGTATCTAAAGCTGTGGCAGACATTGAAACTCGAAGGCAGGAATGTAGTCAGCATGGTCAGTGCAGGCAATTACGGCTATTTGGTCCACACATGCTCCGAACCGGCGAACAGTGCGCGGACCTTGGCTTGGTGTACTTCTTTGACAGCATGCATGACTCTGATTGCTCGGCAACATTGAACCCCCACACGAGTCAGCCAAGCTGGTCTCATGTCTTCAAAACGAACCAGCCTGAGGCGGCGTGGAAATAGAGAACGCTGTCAAGGAGGTGCAGGAAATGGGTGCTTTGGGTCTATTGTCGGTATTTGGGCATTAGTAGTAGACATACAACGGTATACCTAGAAGTATACTGGTGGATATCGGTGGTGGTATTCAGATGTATAGCAAGTATAGTGCATATACCTATATAGAATAGAAGTACTATTTCATACTATTTCTACGGCTCTTTGCAAGCGACCTTGCTTTGTCTTTTGCAGTCTCCCAGCATGTCCGTTCGATGGAATTGATCCGAACATCGAATTGAAGCCGACGACGACGACAACGGTAACCACAACCGCCACGTCACAACTGTGGTCAGACTTGGTAAACCATCTTCGCTTGATCGGTCCACCCGATCTTAAGCTCCCAAGGCTCATAAAAAACCCACAAGTCCGGCCTAGACGCAAGGCCATGCTGTACTTGGTATGCCATGCTGGCTGTAAATATGAAAAACACATTTTTAGATCCCAGTTGAGTGGCTACAACGCTCGAAGGTTCACCATAGGTAGTATAAGCACTGGATTGCTTAACTGCTGCATTCTTGGAGCCTTGGTGGTGCACGGGAGTTGTGTGGCACGTTGCTCAACGGCCGTTTCATGGTATTCTGGACTTGCAGACGAGCGCTGGGAAACTGAGGCCGACTGAGGCCAAGGCTGGACTGGACAAACCTTGAAGATCCTACTTGATGTAGCTGTCTCTGTAGGATGTGTATGTACCGTATCAAGTTGGTGAAGGTGCCATGCGTAGAATGCACAGGAAGATTGCAAATATAGAAGTAATGTTGGCATTGATGTCGAGTCTTGGCCACAATGTAGGCCCTGAACTTTCAGCATCTTTCAGCATCTTTCAGCATCTTTCAGCATCTTTCAGCATCTTTCAGCATCTTTCAGCATCTTTCAGCAGCTTTGCAATCTGCGAGCTGCTTGATGGCAGTCTTGCACCTCCTTCTGGTGCTGATCCGTGGCACTTTGACGCTGCAGCAGTGATAGCTCACACCAGTGATGGCAGCGGGTGAGTCGTGCCGGACGTTTGGCAACGAACTGCTTCAGTGTCATGAGAGGCTTCTCCACAGCACGGGTTCAGTTCTCAGGTGCTTGTCCTCGGTGGTTGTCAGCACCTCGTTCCATCTGTCAGGTGCTGGCTATGAGGAGATCATATTCAGCCTCTTCCTCAGTACAGCTGTGAGCCTTTGAGGAGATCAACTCCACCTTTCCCAAGCAAAAACCGGCTAGTCATTGGCGTTGAGTCACTTCCATCCATGGCCTTCCCGCAGTATTTCTTAATTCAGAGGGCTCAGCTGTTTAGATCTGCTTAGTTTTCCTTCGGTTTTTTCCTGCTGGATCCACTGGCTTTTTGACCCTGGCCATGACCTCAGCTTCGGTGGTCACTTCGAGCGCCGTGATCCACTGCCCGCTGCCGGCCACGTTCGAGAATGCCGTCGCTGCTGTGCGGCAGGCGCTGCCAGAGGAACGTTGGGACAATGTATTGCTGTGAGCTTGGATTGCTTCAGGCGATTCATATTTTTTGGTTTTTTACAACGTGGAGGTCATTAATTTATAACGTCATAATAATTAAACTTTACACATATATTTTTATAACGTATGTGAATTTGAATGAATGATATGAAACACATCCGAGGTCATGTGGAGTTGACCAAGCAGAACCAGGCAAGGCCTTGGACAACTCCACGCATCTTGGAGTGTGATGGGAGTGTTCAGATTTTGTTCAGTGTGGTTCTCTGACTTTTTGAAGTTTTCGAAGTTTCAGTCATCGCTTTCTCACCGAAACTTGGCCTGAGGTATGCACTCGTAAGCTATGATGCCCTCGGCAACTCTGCCGTCTCCATCGCGAAAACTGAGCATCGCGGGATCACCGTGCAGCAACTGCTACAGATCGAGAAGTTCATCCGGAAGCATGCGCGTTTTTGGGTGGAGACGTCCCTTGGAGCTTTCTGGTCCAGGAGGAAAGTCTCCACCCTAAAATACAAAGTGTGACGTTTTTAGAGTTTTACATTTTGCTCGGAGGTTTTCGAGCGCATTAGGCATCAAAGTTTAAGATCCAGCAAGACGCCACAGCCGCCAACGTTCCGTTCGTTCCAGGTTTCCACAGAGCCCCAGCTTCGGTTTGCCATTGGAGTTCGACAAATTCAACCTATACCATGCGTGTTATTGGATCATTTCGCCGGCCACGCGCAAGCTCTGCTGCAGCCTGGTGGAGCTCGTGGCAATGGATGCTGACGCGCAGTATCCATGGTGGTTTGTGAGCCACGCATGGCAGGTAGCGGGGGGTGATCAAAGTTGATCAAAGAATCAAATCTATGAAAAGAAGAGGAATGCAGGAATGAAGGAATGAAGGAAGGAAGGACACAAACCATATTAGCAAAAAGGCAACCAAGGAAGGAGGGAAGGAGGTAAGCAACAGAGGAGAAAGGGTAGGAAAGAATGAAGGAAAGAAGGAAGGAAATGAGACGAGAAGTGAACAAAGAATGTGATTTGTTGTTTTTGTTTCATGTTTTTCCATGACGTGCGAGAATAATTATTGTCGTTCTGCTTTGCGCGCAGCGCCTCCTCCCAGTCTCCCCGTCCAAATTCCCCTCTCCCAATCCAAGCTTGCACAGGTGTAAATACACTACACAATGATTCATTGACAATGATAGACAATAATATATACATATCTACATATTATACACTGTATGTATATTATATTTGATCGCGTATATGCAAATATAGTAAGCTATATAAGTTATATTTTACATACTATACAATTGTACATCTATGCAGCCTATGCAAAAATAGCCCGCATTGTATCCCTAAATAAACCCTAATCCCACCCTAGACAAACTTTGAATAGACCCTATTCAACCCTAAATAAACTTTAAACCAACCCCAAATAGACTCTAAACCACCCGTAAACGAAACCTAAACCAACCCTAAACATGGAATCATATTTGGGATAGCCGCTCCAAGTGGCAATCGAGACCAAATAACATAGAAGTCCATTTCTGTATGGAATATATTTTTGATACCTGCAAGTGTTGTCAATCTAGAGTATTTCGATCCCTTCGTTGCCTGATCAAAAAATATTCGAGATAAAAAACATTATATCCAACCCACCATCAACGTCTATGAAATATGTTTTCCCCAAATATCTTGTTGGTGTCTCGGTGTCGATCGTGTCTCGGTGGTGTTTCGATGGTGCGTCAATGATGTCTCTGTGGTGTCACTGGTCTCGGTCGTGTTTTGGTGGTGTCTCAGCGGCTTCCATGTTGATCTGTGGTGTTCACGCTGTCTTGGTCATATCTTGGTGGCGTCGGGTGGGGGTGTCGGGGCGGTTGTGTTGGTGGTCCGTCGGTTGTGCCATGAACCAGGTAGTCTTCAACGGTTGCATGCAGCTGTCATGACGACGACAAGGGCGAGGAGGACGATGATGATGGTGACAACGACGATGATGATGATAATGATGATGATGATGATGATGATGAACGTGATGATGGTGACGACGATGATGATGATGATGATGAGGATGACGATGATGATGATGATGATGACGATGATGATGATGATGACGGAGAAGAAAAAGAAGATGATTATGATGATGATGAGGAGGACGACGGCGATGATGATGATGATGATGGTGATGATGATGATGATGATGGAGAAGAATAAGAAGCTGATTATGATGCTGATGAGGAGGACGACGGCGATGATGATGACGATGACGATGACGATGATGATGATGATGCTGCTATGGAGGATGAGGACGACGACGACAATGATGATGATGACCATGACCATGATGATGATAATGATGATGATGATGATGATGACGATGACGATGGCGATGACGATGACGATGATGATGTTGTTGTTGTTGCTGTTGTTTGTTGATGTTGATGTTGATGTTGATGTTGATGTTGATGTCGGCATCGATATCTTTATCGATGACGATGATGATGACGAGGACCATGACGATGACGACAATGAAGACGATGAGGATGTGACGACGACCCGGCGTTCGTAGGTTTGGGTTAAAATAGGGGGGAGGGACGGATGTTGACGTATGTTATGAAGTAACATATTGACTATGATGCTTCCACCGGAGCAACTGTGAAAATTCCCTCAGTCCATGCAGCGACCAGGGCAGTGTGCTGCTCACCTCACCAGAGGAGTTGACGTACCTGTTGCATACTACACTTGTGCCGAGACCCTCCTGCAAATTTTTCAAATGAAAAAGGTATTGGAATAGAAAACCAACAGGAAGGAAAGAAGGACATAATCCCGACAGGAGGAAGGGAAAGAAGGAGAGGGAGGGAGGGAGGGAGGGAGGGAGGGAAGGCAGGAAGGAAGGAAGGAAGGAAGGAAGGAAGGAAGACAGAAACAAAGGCCTAGTTCCAGAATGCTGCGTGCACTTTCCCATTTACACATGCTACTTTCGAAGAGTTGCGGGTCCCAAGCAATTTGCAAATGTTGGTTTCAAAATGTGGCAAAGACCGTTCAGTTTACAGATTTTATTTCTAAATGCTACGAACATTCTACAGTATGCAGATTTTTTGCTTCAGAGCGCCGTGAACATCACAGCGCAGTTTTCAGATATGATTCCATATCTTGCAAATATCATGGAATGTGCCGATGTTAGCATTGCACTGCTGCAAAAATTATCCGGTGGCAAAGCTCCGTGCAATGACCTGATGTTGCATCATGACATGCAATGTACAGGTGCTAGCTGCAGAATGCTGCACATACCGAGCAATTTTGCGGCAGATACTACGCAGCTTAGAGATCCTAACAGCAAACGGCCAACATATGGCACACCGATACTTTGACACGGTGCTTCACAAAGACATGATTTTACACAGGCATTTGCACATACACATGCTTTTACCCAGGGATGGTTTTACGCGCAAAGACCTTCATGCAAAGGTGTTTTTACACAGGGATGCTTTCAAGCAAACAAAAACTTTTGCACACAGACGCGTGGGTACTTTTACACACAAACGCATGGGTACTTTTACACACAGACGCGTGGGTACTTCTACACGCAGATGCTTTTACACAGCGATGCTTTTACAGAGGAATGCTTTCACATGGGATTTTACACAGGGCTTCTTTTGACACAAATTTGTTTTCAGTAAATACTCTTATGCAGAGATGTTTTTTTACACAGAAACACATGTGTACAATGGCGTCTTTTTACGCACAGATACTTTTACAAAAAGGATTTTTGCACGGATACTTTTACGGAGAGAGGCTTTTACACACAGGTGCTTTTAGACTAGGATGCGTATAGGGAGAGGTACTCTTACATGGGTCAAGCTGGAAGCACGATTTGGGGGAGGGTTCAAGCCATTTGGGAATCAGGTTTCCGTCCGCTTTGTTTACAGAGAGATGCGTTTATTTACATACAAGGGCTTCTACACAGGGAAAGGCCTTCACACAGGGATGGGTTTACGCAGAGAGATGATTTTACAAAGGGATGCTTCTACTTACAGGTGCTCTTACACAGAGATACTTTCAACACAGAGATGCTTCTACACAATGGTGCTATAAGATACAAATACTTTTACACCGAGATGATGTTGCTAAGACAAACTTTTAGACACAGGCGGGTTTTCACACAGGTCCTTTTGGAAAGATGCTTCTACACAGGTGTTTTTACATGCTAATAGAATGGGCTAGCGCCCGGGTGCCGCCCACCCCCCTTGTTTTTTAGGGGGGGCGGTGACCGCAGCCAGTTTTATCCGGAAATGGCTCAGTTGTAGCGAAGGAGGAAACAAAAGAAAACACCATCCGGAAAATTTTCTTTCTGAGTAATAGTATGTTATAGATCCTGGAGGCAAACGGCAAGCTTCAAGGCTCTAACAAGAAATGCTTGTGGCCAGAGTGCAACGGCAAGGTAGTGGCAAGCCAACAAAAACAGGCTCCACACCTGCCGTGGTCCCAGGCGCCGCCCCTGCCTGCATGCCTCATGCACACATTCTTTTACGCCGAGATTCATTTACACGCAAGCACTTTCACGCAGAGGCGCTTTGACACATAGTGGCAGGCGCGTTTACATGCAAATACTGCTACACGGCGGTGTTCATTTTGCGCGCGTTTTCTTTACACACACGCATGCTCTGTCACAGGGATGCCTTTGATCACGCATGCTTTAACGCAGAGATATTTTTACACGGAGACACCTTTGCACAGAGAGAATGCCTTTTAACACACACACACAAATACTGTTACAGAGAGACTCGGAGAGATGATTGTACACTGAGCAATTTTACGCACAGAAGCCAAAACAAACAGAGGTGCTTTTTACAAAGGAATGTATGTGCGCGAAGGGTTTTTAGTTGTGGGCATTTTCACACAGACATACTACTGAATGATTTCCTGCTTCGGACACGCGTATGGCCCAAAGAGTGCAGCAAACATATGCAAAATCACAGTTTCACCACAGCTCTTGGTCGAGACGCATTTCGTGGGAAATGGTTGGCCCAGCACAAACCCACATTACAATTTGACCTCAATGTTTGACGATTGACATTTCGTGCGACAGGGTTGCGTTTCGTGGACATTAATCCACGCTGCCTTCCCGCTCGAAGAGAAAAGTTAGAAACAATCAAGATTGTAGGTGTCCTTAAGAAATTGATTTCCACCTGCATCTTGACATCTGCCACTTCACACCTGCATATATCCACTTCTCGGTTTCAAAGAAAACCGATCTCCGCCTGCACCTATATATCTTCCGCCATACACCTGCATATATTCGTTTGGTAGCTGTGTTATAGAAGATTCTGTTAACCTGCATCTTTGAATCTGCACCTAAACGAATGCCTGTCAGTAAGATTCATGCTTGCATCTACACCTGTATACATAAATTTCATGTTGTAGATGTATTCAAAAATATCATTTTGTAGATGCATTAAAGTGAGGATGTTGAAGAAGAAGATGATGTTGAAGCAGAAATCAAGATGATGATGATGATGATGATGATGATGATGGTGACATTGAAGAACATGATCATGATGGTGGTGGTGATGATGATGATGAAGATGAAGAAGAAAGTGATGATGATGACGATGATGTTTTGATGATGGTGGATGTCTGTATTGAGGGGGAAAAAACCCTTTGCCGGCCCTTTCCGGACTTGGTTGTGTCTGTCCTGATGGTTGATGGTGTTTGTCCTCCTGCTGGTGTCTTGGCGGTCTCAATTGTGTTTCGGTGGTCGTTGGCGTCTTGGTGGCACTTTGGCGGTGTGTCCGTAACTCTTGGCGGTGCTCGGTGATGTTTTGGGTCTTGCTCATGTTTTCGTGGTGTTTCTGTGCTGTTTTGCCGGTGTTCCGGTGGTGTTTGGTGGTATCGAAGAAACGGTATTTTTTGAGTAAAATGGTTTGCCGGACAATACCGAATTGGCGTCAACGGAGATGTGAAACTTTGCTATTGGGGTTGTATGCTGGGTTAATTTGATCCTTCACTCGCAGGAAGCCGTCTTCAAATTCGTGGCTTGTCTTCGGCAGCATGCTGCGCTGCGAAATGTGGCGGATGGCGCGTACTGGGTGTGCGCCTACGCCAATAATCAGCACAAGCTCGAGGAGTGCCGGACACTGCTGTGGGCAATGAGTTTGGATGAGTTTAGAGTGGTTCAACTGAATCCATCATTGATTATTGTTAGTTGTAGTTGTTTGTTCAAACAACTGGTTTAGCGAGGGGGTGATTGTATCACATGGCACTGATTGCAGGAAGAAATCTGCGCAAATCCGCGCTCAACTTCATTTTATCGCGCGATGCAGTTATCCATAGGCGTCGTACTGATCTTGGATGAGAAAGCAACGCCTTTCACAAGGATTTGGTGCTGTTTTGAGGAAAGCATCGCCGTTGCCCGGCTAAAGACTCTGAAAGAAAGACAACCACAAGTCTTGCGCTTCGAGTGGTTCATTGATGACGAATCTTGTAGTATGACTTTCGAGGTGGAAGAACGCAATGCTGGGATGCCGCTGCTCCTGGATGTGGCTGCGACTGATTCTGCCAACGAGGCCAAAGGAACAAACGGGGCTCAAGGCTGCGGGTTGCATACCTAGAGCCTCAAGCGGGCTAGAATTTCAGCCTGAGACAGAATTTAGGCTGAATGGGGTATTGGGCCCAAAAAAAAACAGCCTGCGGGCTGATTTCCATATTCGAGCAGTTTTAGCCAAGTTTGGGTGGGAAAACCATAGACATTTAAAAAAACAATGAAACATTCCAAAGCAGAGAACTTTGGCGTAAAGGAATCTGGCGTGATTTGGCCTGATTCGGGCGTAATTTGGCGTGATGCCGGCCTGATTTGGTGTGATGGGGGCTTTGACAACCGGAAAATCGTCTTCTAAAATGATTGTGTAAAATTTGGGTACACTATGTTCAGAGACCCACAGGTCAACAAAACTGATTCGGGCAGAACAAACGCCTGCGGGCTGAAATTTGCCCGGGCAGAAATTTTAGGCAGAAATTTTAGGCTGAACAGCTGCAGCTTCAGGCAAAAAATAATGTTCTGTGCGAGGATGCAGGTATAGGCTGTCTCATACGCTGCTTCACATGAAACTGTTCCAACAACACTTCATTTGATTCGGTTTTGAAAGCCAGCCGAAGGATGGACATTCAGGCGAACGAAGTGGGTACTCGAGGGATCTAGGTACTAGAGGTACTAGGGGGTTGCACAGAGGGCTTGGGAAGGCCGGAGGGAGCAGCTGAAGGAGATTAGGCCAAAAAGGCGAAGGAAGGTTTGGTCATAGCAGCCATGGATTCCGGAAAAACGTAACAAAAACATCACAAATTACGGTGTATTCCAAAAACACCGAAAATACTGCGCGCCAAGAAGCAAAGGTCGCGAGTGAACGCGTTGTCCCAAGTTAAACACCGTTCAACTCTAGTGTTTGGTCGCAGAATACGTGGTTACCGCGAAATCATTGCCAGCCGCGGCGTTTTTGTATTGGCGCATGGCAAAAACGCAACAGTTGCAATGCAGTGAAAGCTGCATAAATTCCAGTGTTGGGTAGTGTTTTTGAATGATGGTTTGCCAATGTTTGCCAAAAACAAGGTTTGGGGTCAAACGACGATAAACTAGGAACATGAACTCATTTTTACAGTGGTTCAGGTCTTCGGCGTCCTCCAAAAAACGGAAACACGACCTACAGATGGTTTCCCGGGAGCCTGTGTCTGTCTTCTTGAAAGAAATCCGGAGTCAGGTGAAGTGAAAACTTGGGATCCAGCGGGACGCGTGGGAAAAGCAATATACAGAAGAAGGCAGGTAAGGAGTAGAATTTTCAACACGGTTGCGGCCCTGCTTAGCATAATTGTCAACTACCGCGCCGCCCATCGCCGCCCTCTATGATATTTCTGATGGGATGACTAGTTGCAGATTGTTATTATGTCGTTTTTCTGCCGGTGAGCCTCCTTCCCCCCCACCCCCCCAGTCCCTATCCTCCCTTTTTCCCCCGTGGGGTGCTCACAGCTGTTTGTAACTCTCCTTCACTTCTCCTTCTGTGTCAGCCTATTCGTTGTGTCACAGCTTGTTGGCCCACACAAAAGCTTCTCTTCATTTTGTTTTGCCTCTCCCTGGTGTTTGTCCGTTGTCGCTACAGAGGAGACAGGTATCCCTTTAGGAGGGGACAGGCAAAAAAGGAATCTTGCCGTGTCAGCCTCCGGGCCATATTGTTTTGTTGGAGGCTAGGAACACAATTTTAGCCAATGTCGCCAAAGAAGTCTGGCCAGGAGGTGGCAGGGTGTGGCAGGTCTGGCTGGGAGGCGTGGCCAGGTGTGGCCAGCAAGTGTGGCCAATCTGAAGCCAACATCGACCGCAAATCTAAGATAAATCTCATAGCAAAAAGCTTCTAAAACCAACACCGCACCTATCATGCGCCGTTGGTGCCGTTTTTGACCTGGGGTTTGTTCGCTGTGGGTTTCCCACTTTGTCCCATATCAGGATGTTTTCGCTACCGCCGTTTCACTATAGAGAACTATGTGGAATCAATTCGGGATAACTCGGGGATGAACGCCATAGTATGTAATAGCCTGTAATAGCCTTTTCTGGAACCGGGCTGAAAAATAGTTTGATTGCCAATTCGGGCAAGACATGCTAGTCGGGCGAGAATGGCAATTTGGCAAAGCAGGTCTGGAGACATCTTTCCCGCATAATTGTCATGTGCTGTTCAAACCATTTTTGAAAATTTGCGTCATAGCGAGTTGGACGAGAATACCTGGAAAAGAGGCGGGAATGCCCGGGGAACAGGCGAGTATTCGCGAGGAAAGGTTTACTTTTCCGTTGACCATAGCTTGCTTTCGAGGGATTCGTACTTCCAGGAATGGCAGCAGAAATGCGGAACGGTGAATCTAATCCAAAACGCGCACATTCTCTTCAGATGAGATTTCCAGGGTCAGGCAGGCTCAAATTATAGATTTCGTTGGCTCTAGGTTGTTTTTGTTTGATGGCAGGTTTCTTTAGCACCGTGTGCCAGGCGCACGTGCTGACTGATGGCTTGGCGGCCGCAGAGGCGTGCCGGATGCCGCTGCTTGGCTTTTTGGCCAAGTCTGTGCGTGAAGCAGCCTTCCCCACACCACTGGTGCAGAAGGCCGTGTGAAGTTGGGGTATGCATCGGTCTTCTGCAGAATTAGATCAGCTATGAATCTGCATATCTCATCCGACGTTACATTTTCAAACGTTTTATTTGTTCCTGATTGGATCTGATGCAAAAAATGTTTGCTGCAACCTGCAGCGGCAAAAAATGCAGGCGTGTGACCTACCAGTTAATTCGTGGCAGGTCGAATTGTATGTGAAAGTGCTAACGCAGGGCCTGGAAGTTGACATCGCGCGAGCCGATGCCAGCCACGCGTCGGACAAGACAGCCATCCTGAATTCCATCAGGTTGCCACGTGCAAGGACCAAGGCCAGGCTTCGGCAGCGAATGGGTTGTCCAAAGCATTGAAAAAGCAGCGAATGGGTTGTCCAAAGCATTGAAAAACGCGGAATTTGGGAAACAAGACATTGCTTTCAAAAATGGTGTGTTTTACCAATCCTACCTGCACAAGGCGGGGCGGAAGTTGCCCAAATAAAGAACCTATAAGAGTTGCGCGTGCGAAGCTGCGGCGTGCAAGGACCATGTGCAAAGTTCATATTCTCAAGATGTTTGCGGTACATGTAGTGGCGCGATATGTGTGATATTGTGAAGTGAATGTTTCGTGAAGTTGTTGTGCGCTATCCTAAGAATTTCCTTCTCAAATAACCGCGGTTTGAAAATAAACGCGGTAGGTATCTTAACTTCAAGGCTATATAGAGTTTCAGTGGAAAACATTTTGCCTATTAGGCAGAAAACCGCCTTAGATACACTGGCCACACCAGCAATCTCCAGTCAAATTTATCAGTGTTGGTTGCTGAATGTAGTTTCAACGTTCTCCTTGCCGCCATGGGGCCCCATTTAGTTTAGTTGAGCTGTGGACCCGCGGGCATGAAATTGATCGGGTTTTTGACTAGTAGCAAAAACAGCTAGCGCGTGAAGGGTAGCTATCAAACATGAACTGCGGAAGCCCTGTAGATGGCGTGGGAAATTGTGTTTCCGGCTGGTACGGTATAGGTACTCTCTGACCCCGCACCATTGGACGATCCAAATTATACAGCCGTGCCGCTCGGCATGTGATGTTTGAAACCTATGCCTGCCTGGTGACTTATGCCTCGTTGTTTCGTGGCTTTCGGGAAGCTGAGGAACCAGGCGTTGGCGGCGCACTTTGCACTGGCGTCGTGGTTCGGGTCCGTGGCGCGGAAACGCGACTCGTTCGACTCCTCCAAGCTCTTGAGCGCCCTGGCGGCAGACAGCTTTCGGAGAGTGGTGCAGCTGTCCTTCACGGGCTGCTGTGGCTTCACAGATGCGGAGCTGAACCAGCTGCTGCGGCACCTTCCCAGGCAAATCGGCATATTGAAAAACCGGTGCAGGGTGTGACGGCATGGAGATGAATTTGATTGCCGAATTCTGGCAGGCAGCTGCTGATGCTTCGTTTAGATATGGGCTTCAGTGGAGTCCAATGCTGGGCTTTCCCAGAGGCACAAGCTCTGTGCCGTGCGCCAGGATGCTTTGACGTCCTCTAAAGCTATGTATATATACCAGGTTGGCAACTTTGAGATATTGAATAAGAAAAACATGAGATACACGGTTTCAATCAAAAGAAATTCAATATCCACAATATCAATTGTCAATTGTTTTATAATGATATATATTTGATATTCTTCGAATTTTTGGAAGGTGCCCCGCGCCAAGACTTGCCAAGAGGTCGAGGAGATGGAGATGCCTCCACTGCAGGAACTCAGCCTGCGCTTCACGGGCTCCCACCTGGCAAACGCTTCGGGCTTGGGGCAGATGCTCGGTGCCAAGCCGATGTCGCAGTCACTGCACTCTGTCCAGCTCTGGTTTTCCAATTTGCCGTGCGCAGCTCAGCCAACGTCAGAAGGAGAATTTTACCTTTTAGGTTCGAGATGCTCAAAGTTTGAGCCATGGACTGGATGTTGAGCGATTTCTTGAGGTCCTTGGTGGAACTGGGCTCATGGGAGCATCTCACGAAGCTGAAACTGGAAGAATTGGTGTTGCAGCTGAACTCTTGCAAGGCCGTCACTGACGAAGCCAGGCAATCCTTGCCTCTCAGATTGCAGTTGGAGATAGTTGGAGATGATGAGATGCGAAAAAGGATCGAATTGCGGTGAGTCCCAAGAGGGTTGCCACGCGATCCCGCCATTTGATGGAACTTTGACGTTCTAAATTATGAAAGCCCGCCGTTGGCTAGAGCTGAAGGTTTTTGTCGGGAACATAGTGAGCTTGAGGGTCTGGGGGGCAGGCCTTGCCACTTGGAACAAAAAACGCATAAATAGGTGGCGTGGAGAAGGGCTTTTGAAACCATTGAGACGCCATAAAGACGGTGATGACGGTGATGAGTGATGAGAATCAATATACCTGCCTTTTGAGAGCATTGAGAAGCTAAAGAATTGGTGATGAGAACAGAGCATGTAGAGACGCAAAAATGGTGATCGTAGGTTATATATATATTGTGGAGATTTTAGGTATATTGAAGTCTGTTTGTGAGAAGTCTGTGGGTGAAGTGTGTGGGCGGGAAGTTTGTATAGGCGAGAAGTTTGTGAGGGAGAATTTTGCGGGTGAGAATCTGGTGGGTCAGAAGCTTGTGGGTGAGAAATTTCGAAATATTTACTACTTTCCTCATTTGGTTCGCTAGCTGACTTCCATCGTCAGTCCCATTTCACATCACCTTCGATCAGGCTTTCGTTACATCCTTTTCAGGTATTTTTGAACAAAATAGTTTTCCAAAGAGCGTGGTCGCAGTGAGGGGGTTACGGGAAGTGTATGCAAGAGCTGGTGCGGTCGCAGCGGTCAATGTGGTTCAACTGCACGGCTTTGCATGTATTTGTTTCTCGTGGCATGGGTTGATTGGGTCGACTTGAAGTGATCGCGGTTTCCCCTGGTGTGGCGCATCGTAGATGCGTTATTCCATGTGGCAGGCATGGGACGTGAACGTCAATTTTGCACGGCAGGCGCAGCACAAACATGACCTCGTGACCCCCTGACCGTTTTGCGTGGCACATGCAATAGGACAGAGATCTTGAACCGAGAGATCTTGTGAAATGTCGGTGATCATCCCACAAGATCATCTCACAGGATCTTGCACTGATCTTGTGGAGGGATCTTGTACCAGCACTCCAGAGACGTCTTTTGGAAACATCTTGCGTAGAGATTTTGTGCCCGACATGTACTGTCAAAGATCTGGTGCTTGGGGTTCTTGTGATGGCGGCAGTTCTCAAAATATGGGATTTGTAGATTTTCCCAGCAGAGCCATGCATAAAGGTCGTCGCAACAGAGGCGCGCAAGGCGAAGGATTTCCTAAAATTATTCATATTTGCGATATCTTAAAATTGTAGTGATATTGTCACGCGTGGAATCCTCATCAGATCCCATCAGTTTCTTCTGCGTTTTCACTGTTTGGGGATTTTGGGGACATGTTGGATTCAACAAGGTATGATTGCGTCCAACGTCTGAAACGTCGTCAGAGAGGATTGGAACTGCGCTTGAGGATCGAGGCTGAGCCAAGCTGCGCAGCATCTGCACAGGGACGAGTCGCAATTTGTGTCAGCCCAGGGGGACCACATGTTTCAGATCCTAAACATAGCATCTCATAATTTGTTCACCTTTCAGGATTTAAAAGTATCTGAAGTTTTGATACCCCAAACCCACACAGTTTTGTTCAGGGTGTGGCTGAGCGATCATGGCCCTGGGTGCCATGTCAGAGGCCAGCTGTCAAGGAGCCAAGCGTGAAATGGTCTTGCGCCGTTCTCGAGTGGATATGGTCTTGCCCCATTGCGGTGTTTCGAAACACTCTCAAGTCGCCGTTACGAAAGAGAAAAGCACGTAGGGAATCATGGGGAGCTTGTGACAGTTTATGAGGAAATGCTCTTATCATGTCCTATCCAACCAGGGCATACCAGGGCTTTGGTGTGTTGCAGCGCAGGATTTGGAGTTGGCAGGCGGCAAGAGTGTGGACAAGTTGGAGAATTTTGGAAGTGAGACTCTACCATTCCCATGTAGCTACGGCGGCTGCGACATCTTCCATTCGAACTTGAGTGGCTTTTGCCCGAAGCACCGCATGTGGCGGCATTGTTGGAAGTCGGCGCGCGTTTGGCAGACAGCTCCTTGGCCCGTTGTTGGTTGTCCATGGTTGTCCACACCTGAACAACTGCAGTGTTAGAAGACCTTCATCGCCATGTCGTTTTGAAGGCTTGGTGCTGGACCGAGCTCAGCTTGCTCTGCGCGATCCAGGCCGCGGCCGAGATCGAGCATCGCGCCACGCTGGTGGCCATCCTGCTCTCGTTGTGCTGAAGCTGCAGTTGGAATCAACGGATTTCAGGTGATTTCCGCTTTATACCCTACCCAAGTTGGAATCCTTCAGCTTTACCCCGACCCTGAAATCCTTTGAGTGACAGTGTGAACCCAAGTTGGTTTTGGCGAGAACCCTGGCCATCACTTGCCGTTTGATTGCCGAGTGTCATACCTGTCCAGCCATTTGATTTTTTTGATCACTGCATATTACTGGAACACGCAGCGCAGCCTAGCACTAAACCGTTTTTTTTCATTTCTGTCGAGGTATCCGGTGTTCTGCTTGTCATTGGAAGAGTCTGTGGGAATTCCATGGGCCGTGACTTGCGCATTGCTCTTGGTCGCCGTGATTTGCCACTCATCCAACTGCTTTGGTCTTCTTATGGGCACACCAACAGATGGAAATCATCAAATTCAAATGGGGCGTAATTTTGATCCAAAGTTCGGACCCCAACCAATTTGTAGAGTCAAACCAGGTTCTGTGTCAATTCCAAGGCAGCTTGGTAACTACCAGCGTGCGCTTTGACAACATGCGAGTACAGATTCTAAAGCAATCAGTGGCAACAGAAGCAAGCTACTCTCAGGTGCGCAATCTTTTAATTTCCTTGCGCGTCCTTGCTGTTCCTTGCTTCCTTTGTGCCACTTCTGATGAGTCTTGTTCCAGGAAACGCCCGTGAGTTTGAAGCATGAATTTTGAGGCAATTAGTGCGAGCAAGATCTAAGGAACAATAATTGCAGGAGAGAAGATGAAAAGGTATGAGAAGAAGTTTCAAAATAGTCAAGATGGATCTGACACAACATGAGAAAAAAGTAGGCAACCATGGCAACATGAGAGAAGTCTATATCGTGCATGGACAGGTGCTGCAGTTGCCAGATTCTGGCAACATGCTTCGAGTTCCTACCATGGCGGGCTGCAGCTACCCAGATTCGAGCGTTTTGCATCAACGAAGCACGGGCTTGTGCCTTGGAGAATTCATAGTATTTTTTTTAATTTTTAATTTAGGGTTTGGTTGATTCGTAGCTCGTAGTTTGGTTATAGTTATAGTCATGCGGATCGATGCTGGGATGACTATCGTTTCCAACGAAAGCATGATTTTCGGATGTTTTCCGGAATCGGTTGGCCATCGGATGTTTTCATGGGACCATTATGTCTGCTTCGAGAAGATTCTTGTCCCAATCAATCCTTTGTCTTGGGCTTCTTGGGCTTGCAGGAGTACGATTTACAGGGATGCGCAAAGCCGCCTTCCTCTCTTTCAGCGTCTTGTCGGCTTTGAGCTATGCCTACGTTATTTGAGTTTGCAAAAATTAACATCCTAACAAAGACTCCCATGCTCCAGAAAGAAAGACCATTGACAATATTCACCCAAAACTTGCATAATTAGTCTGGAGCAATTCACCAGGCCAAGCCCCCTAGGCAAATCTGCAGAAATCCATCGAAGGGGAAGACGGAACATGTTTAGATTTTTCTACATGTTATGTTTCCTTTGGCTCTTGTTACATGCTTTTGGATATGGTGAACTGTGTTCTCTAAAAATGTCTCTTTCACTTTTTTAGGTCCTAGATTGCGCAGCGAAGGCATCAAATGAAAACCAGGTTAAAGGATAATGAAACATGCCATGCCATTGCCATGTATCCGATGTAATCCAGTGTATCCCATGTTTTGTGTCTTGCTTGGCAAACCAGCGATTTCCTCAGCCTACTTCTGGGCATGTTTGTTTCCCAGGAGAGCCATGAAGTTGGTGCTTCCCAATGCAACTGTGAAGATCAAACTCTTGACGCATTTGAGCAACGAAGAGCAGCAAAGCACCTCCACCATGTACCATGTGTTGTGTCCTCGCCGTAAAGTTGACAGAATGTTTGGGGGAACACAAAGTAGAACTTTTGGAAAGGCCTTGCTCGTGCTACTGCTTTTAAGTTGTGTTGTTTGAGACCTTGTGCAGGAAACTGCCCAAATTAGAACTGCGTAAACTCTGAGAGTTCTGCTATGCATCTCTCAACTGGCATGTCATAATCATGCTTTGACCAGACATGTGCATTTGGACCTAGAGTTCTTATTTTTCAATGTACCATAGATGCGGCGCATGCAGCGCTCGTACGCCCTTCTACATGGTCTGAAGATGTTTGAAGGGCTCAAGCTCCTTTGCCAGGCCCAGAGAAAGTGTTGGATGCCCTGCGATGTGAACTGGTGTGCGAAGACATGCTGGGAGTGCAGGAGGCGTTCAAGGGCTTGGAGGTGTCTTGGTGTTATAAGTTTGTCAACTTTCCCATCACGGCTCAAACCTGAAAATTTAAAGTAACTATTGCCGTGAGTGGCAGAAGGGGAGGGCTTCGCCATTGAGCCAAACACGCGCTTCGCGTCGGAACTTGAGGACAGAATCCAGAGCGAAGACTTGGCCTCCCTGCAAATCGCTGCAGTTCAGGATACCTTTGCGGAGATGAGCGGCCACAAGTGCTGCCAGGCGGATTGGTCCATGGGTCAATGGGTCGATGGGCCGATGGGTCGATGCAATGGAGTTTTCATGAGTAATTTCAGAGGACCCTTCAGTGGACTACTGTGACTACTGGATGCATCTTCACAGTTACGGCGCGGGAGAAAAACATTGAAAAACCCTGGCTGATCAGTAAATCTATACAATGTATACAATGTCGTACGGATTCTCACAACTTGTTTGTGGTCAGGATTGCACATTTGCCAGGTGATCCTGCAGATGGAGAATTATTTTGCCTCGGTTTTTCTCATGGATGCGTTCCTCACGAGGCGATCTGGGGCCCGGGTTGGATCTCCTTCGGAGCAGGGAAGTGGTGCCGAGAACTTGACATGGGACCTGTAGAACACCAGGGGAACAGTAGAGCACCATGTGCCTTTGCGACTTGATGTGCCTTGTTTACATCGACTAAGTTCTAAGACATTCTAAAACCGCATAGGGCGGACAATGAGCTGCAAACAGGATGGACAATGAGCTGAGCAGCGTGACAAAGTTGGCTGCGCAGTTTGGGTTGCTAGATGACATGAAATCCAAGTGGGAGACTTCATCAAGGCCGGGAATCGACTTGCTCAATATTATAATTCATTCAGCAAGGTTGAGCCTTCGGCCTGAAACCATGATTCCGAGCGAACCTCTGGCCTTGCGAGCTGCTAGGCTTTGGAATTCCGTGTCTGACGTTCGCAGACCTTTGGTCCTTGTAGGGACCATTTTCTTGCAAGTTCTGGCTTTGGCCATGTCGATGTTCATGGCGCTTCAATATTTCCTACGCTATGCTCACAGGAGAGCCGTTCCCAATTGTTCTCATGCATTCTCCAATACTTGGTCTATGTGCTGACAGTCTTGCCAGAATCCCATTTCAGAACTATTGTCAAAGTCATTGTCAGCTCAGCAATTTTTTATGTACAGCCAATGGCCGCAGTTTCGGAAATTCCGCAGGATCCGGCCCCAATTGCCTGACTTGGTTTTGGATGGCTTGCTGCTGGACAGAGGAGAGGAGTCCGGTGAGACTATCCTGGAGGCGTGGGAATTTGGGGAATGTTGCAGAGTTCCATATGTTGACGTTGCAGATGTGCGACTGAATTGGACGCCAATTCATCCAATTCCCCCTCGGCCCAGCTGAGGCCATATTTTTGGCACTGCCCTACCTCGTTTTGGTGGCCGTTTTCCTGCAGCAGTTGGTGTGTCGGAAGCAAAGCAGGAAAAGGCCTCAACCGACGAAGATCCTGTACGTTCCTGAGCATGATTTAGCCAGGGTGATTGCAGTCTGTCATATTCTGGCGTTAAAAATTGCCCATGATCATGTGCAATTTAAATCAATTTAACTTTTAGTGACTTGTGCAACCCGAGGAGCGATATTTTGGGCTGCGCGGAGTTTACTACCCCGTCAAGGTGGCGATTTTGCAAGGTCTCACCGTCATGGTGCAAGCCTTTGGAAAAATCTCCTTGTTGGGGGGCCTCGTCACCTTTGCCCAAGAAGAGCAGGACGCGACTGCCATTCTTTGGCTTAGTGTTGGCTTCTGGGCTTTCTTTGCTCTGCTGTGTTGGAACAGTCTCTATCCCGCCTTTCTTCTTATGTTCCCTGACACTGCCTGGGCTCGAATTGGAGCAGCATTTACGGATGCTGCTCTGGACCTTGGCTACATCTTGACCTACCTGGGTATGGCATCTTGATTTAAATTTGGTTTGACAAGTTTCAGGGGAATCACTGTCCTTTAGATCTTGATGGTTTGATTCTCTGTCTTTCAATGGAAAGCATTGCTGCAAGGTCTTGGTGGCCATGCTGCGATTGCGGACAGCCTCCGAAGGTTGGGGAAATTTTGGCGAGGACTTGACGTTGCAATTCAGAAACTAAGCTCCAGAATGGTTGGTCGTGCGTCAACCAACATTGAGTGTCTCCAGTGAAACTTTGCATACCTGTGCCATGCGAGTGGGATCTTCACTGCAACTTGTTTGAATCTGAGGCAATCGCATCAGCCCCGTGTTCGCTTTTCCCACCGACCTATTGGGCTATTGCGCCGTGTATTTCAACTTGGCGCATGCATGCTGCATTGCACACATTTTGCAGCACACTACTTGGCGTTTGCCAGTGCGACCCAGGCGACAGCAAGACTAAACAGCTTGCCATGCCATATCTTGCCATGTAAACATGTCAGATGATGTCAGTTTCGTTGCTTGTGAACTCACAGCAGCAAGCACCATGTCAGGGGCGAGCGCCAAAAGTCTCGATGCCTTCCAAGACTATTTGGGTGCTCCCTTTCCATTGGGCTTCTGTCGATGCTGATGACGCTCCTTGTGACGCAGGACTGCCGCACAAGATTTGCGTGAGTGACTGTGAGTGGTGATTTTGATTTGACGACACTTGTTCAAGCGCCTTTGCAGGAAGTCTTCCCAATGACCCATGGACGGGATTTCACGTTAAGCTCTCAGGGAACCGTTTGTATCTTTTTGCCATCGGTGAGTTCTCATAAAAGATCTATAGGAAAAGGTCGTGGAATGGGATTACAGGTACCTGTGCAACTTGTGTCTCCTAGGTGTTTCCCGTGCAATTGCGCTAAAAATGTTGGCTCGGCCGGCCAACAGATTAGCAGCTGCAACCTTGCAGTCGTCCTCAGACAGACGCAGGCCAGGCGGACCACCGGCAGTTTGTTTTTCTGTATATGGAAATATGTTTAATAATAGGTTTCAATGTTAAATGTTGTTTGAATATGTTTGAATGGGAATTATCACACATTATATTGTGCATCTAATTTCATGGACAATGCATTTTTCTTACATATGCTTCCCCTGCGCACCAACTTTAGGTGAACCTCGCTGCGAAGAACATCACTGCCGTGGACCCAAAGGCTTTCAGCAAACTCGGACATGTGCAGCGCCTGTCATTGGCGAACAACAGCTTGATCCATCTGCCTCCGGGC